GGGGGGAGCATCTGAAATGGCCGCGCGTGCGCATGCGCCTGGGCGCTGGGCGAGGCCCCTCCGGGAACGGAGCCCGCCACGCGCAAATGCTCCCCCAGGTTACAGGTGATTTCCCGGTGACACAGCGGAGCTCCCCGTTCCAGCTCCGGGGCTGCGTGAGCACTCCCGGCTGGAGGGCGCGCGCATCGACCCCGCGCCCGTTCTCCTCGTCGCTGAAGAAGAGGCGTCGCGCAGTGCTCGCGGGGCCTTCGTGGAGCACGAGCGTCGGCAACCCCGGGGCCGAAGCTGGGTTTGTTGTGCCGTCGTTAACTGCCAGGTGCTGACGAATAATCCCCTGGCCCCCCAGTTACTGTCACTGCCGAGGTTGTGCAGACAAACGGGACAGAGTCAGATCACGCTTCTTCAGCTTCGAGGTAACGTGCAGAAAACCCTTAAGTCACTAGCAAGTTTCTGCTCTTGATTTACTCTGTTACCTCCAAACGTGCGACTGTTGTTGCAGCCTTGACATATTCTGGTGTTTGAGGCGTTGGGAGAAAGAGCGTTCAACTTCATAGGTCAGTTTTTATTCAGTATGTTTCTGCGTAGCCCACAACCCTTGACCACACTGAAATTTTTTTTCTGAAAGGCCACATGACTGCTCGTGAGCCAAGTTTTCACTTTTATGTGAGCAGGATATAACAAAGGGTGGACTAGACCGATACTTGTTAATGCAGCCCGGAAAATAATTTGAACTGAGCGAATGAATGAACGAATGAGTGAATGAGTGGGTGGGTGGGTGGAGACAAGGGGCAGAGTGTGAGGAGGGGCACTTGAGCCTCAGGAGCACTCTTTGAATCCCAGGTGAATGGAGAGTATTTTTTTATCTTGTTAAATGAAGCAGGTGGAAAAATAAGACACAGGGTAGTAAGCTGTAAACTTGACCCTGAACACTCATCTCATTCCTAAGAGTCAGACTTAGTCTTGTTCGTCCTTCACCGAATGGCAAACATGATGCTTCTGGCCTTCATTTAGAGCAGATACGCAGGAACAACTTTTGGATGAATGCACAGCGGAAGTGGATCCTGAGACTTCACTTGCACCCACGTCAGCCAGTCTCCAATGTGGAATGCACTGACTTAGTGGAAAACAACCAAGATGCAAATGGCCAAACCTCTCCTGGCTTGGAGGCAATTAGTCAAATCTAAACTAGGTTAGCAAGCTTCTTGGAATTATAGCATGTTCTATAAAGGCACTAAGAAAATGAAACTTTCAGGGATGCCTGGGTGGCTTAGTCAGTTAAGCATCTTGATTTCGGCTCAAGTCATGATCTCAGGGTTGTGAGATTGAGCCCTGAGTGAGGCTCTGCACGGGGCATGGAACCTGCTTAGGATTCTTTCTCCTCCTCCCCCTCTGCCCCTCCCCCCTAAAAAATATGAAACTTTCATATGATACATTTTAAAAGTAAACTATTAAAATACCTATTTGAAGATTGGGATGGCAGTGAGGGAGGAAACAGTAACAGCAGTTAAAGCATTTGGTGAACATTGACTTTGTGCCAGAATGCTGGTGTGAGGAACTTCGCCGTCTGCAGGTTGGTTCCTTTCAGAGACACTTCAGAAAGAAGGCCTGGGGGATGGAGCTTTGAGACCAGAATCAGGGCTTTGAATTTCAGTCCCAACACTGACCTGTGGAGTGACCTTCAGAAAATTATCTAGTGCCTGGGTTTCCTGATCTGGAAAGTGGGAATAATGAGGGTCACTGGAGGGATTCAGAGTTACTAATTGCAGAACGTTTGGAATGTAATAAGCTCTCCTAAGAACCCTCATTTAGATTGTTGGTTTGATTCCGCAGAACTCCCGTAGGGTATTTATTAGTCGCTCCTTCTCAGTAGAGGAACCTAACTAGAAGTAGTTGGTTTAACATCATACAGCTAACGAGTAGTAGGGCGCAGCTTTGAACTGAGGTCTGTGACTCAGAAGCCAGCAGTCTCCACCTGCCACCCATGCTGGAAGGCATGGGAGTTTGCAAGTATACCCTGAGGCTCCACGGTTTTAAAAAGGTGCCTTCCCGCCAGTGGAGTTAAACCAAACCCGAAGGTTGCAGAGCTACCTAACTGCGGTCTGATCCTGGAATGCCCTGCCTGAGGGAAGCAGGGCATCTGCTGGGTGGGGCAGCAGGTCCTGGTCAGGAGGGTGGGCTCTGGTCTCAGACCCCCAAGGTCGAATGGGGCTTTACTGCTTGCCAGCTTCGTCACAGACAAATGTTTCTCTTACATAAAATGCAAACAATGATAAGAGATACTCCCCCCCCACACACACACACGGTGGTCGGTCTTAAGGATTATGTAGCCACAGCTCTTAGAATAAAAGCATGGTGCAGACATCACTGTTTGTTGCGGTTGTTAATCCAGCAAAGATCAAACCCAGCTCTGACATTCATTGTGAGGATATCTCCCAGAACCCCAGTGTGACTCAAAATTATGGCACAGAAATTAAAGGTCAGACCACAGTTTTCAATGACCGGAGGGTATTTTTAAATCTTGTGAAATTCCCCATTAGAAGTAAAAACACAGCATTTGAGATCATTATTAAAAACGATCTCAAGCCAGTAAGAGCTTTTTAGTTGGAGAACCTTTGTACATTTTACACATTCGGTTTAAAGAAATTTTAGTAAAGTCTACAAATAAAATTTTATTTTGTTCCAACTTATCTTGAAGCATCTATTTAAAGTATTATTACCTTTGAAAGAAGAGAAAAAGACTCATTTAAGGTAATTATTTAAAAACACAAATCACAAAAAAATAAAAAAATAAAATAAAATAAAAACACAAATCACGAGAGCATTGTCGAAAAATGTTTGCAATCCTCGTCTGCAGGGGGCTAGTATTCCATATTTGGCAAGGAAGTGGGGCTGTGCTTCTAAGTCTTTGACAGCCCGGAGGAGGGTGACACACCGTCGGCGTAGATGATTTGTTCTTCTTCCTATATTCTTCCCTTATCCTAAAACTGTTAGGTGGCATCTACAAACATTACAATGAATTGAAGCAATCGTCATCAGACATTATGAGAATTTCTTTTTACCCCCTGAGACAACTGGATAACGGCTCTGGCTTAGAATCACGGAGCTCCTCTTTGTCATCTCGCCTACAGACACCCTGCACTCGTAGCTCTTTGTAGGATCTGTTTGGTCCAGTGACCTCTGGATTCAAATGTTACACGTTTTCTATGTCTAGCATCCTTTGAAAACCTAGCCTCTCCCAGGGCCACACTTTCTAACAGCACGGGGACAAGTGCATTCATTCCCTAAGTGTTCACACAAGCAGAGGTTTTCTTGGGGGAAAAAAATTACTTGTCCTTCTTTCCGAGTCGCTCATTCTGTTTGCAGTAGAGGCAGTAAACTGCTGGTGAGGAAATGAGATTCTGACAAATAACTTGCTCTCAGCTGGTGCACTAATTGAAATTGAACCTAATGCTGCTGATGAAGAGCGATCAGAAAGTACACAACGCCAGACTGCAAAAGAGAACGAGCAGCCCACTTTGACCTTCAGAAAGTTACTGAGCCGAGTCAGTGGGCTGGGAGAAGGCGGAGATTGCAAGCAGAGGGGAACCTGGAACTGGAGAAAGACTGGGGGCAGTGGATGGGCGTTGGGGTAGTTTTTCCAGGTCTGACAGATTACAAACCTAACCGCTACATTTCTATGAAGTCACTGAAAACTCAATAGGAATTCAAGCTAATTTTGTGAGGATGATCCAGTTCCTGACTAGACTATTTTTCACAGAAAACAACTCACAGGAAGAGGAGAGCAGGATTTCCCAGAGTTCTCTCTACCAAAGCTTCCTCACATCGAGATGCTGATCGTGCAGCCCTCGGGGCAGCGGGGAGGGGCCTGGGCATCACCCCACGCAGCTGGTACCTGTGGTCTTCAGCAGCCTCCCCGCTTCGCACCACTGGGCCATAAAAATAAGAATCGTATCCTCTTCTGCCTATGCCGTGGACAGGGAGTGGACAAGGTAGGGAGTTTTTGTCTTTTCGTGAAGAATAACATAGAGTAGGTGACCAAAAAATGTGTTTGGGATAAGTTAATGAAATAGTCACAGATTTTAAAAAGAAAAATTAAGGCAGGCAACTGTTTCAGAAAAAGGGAAAGTAGCAAAGTAAATGGAAATAAACATCATATACTACACTTAGCGCAGCAGTGAATATCTATACCACCAAAACAATGAGAACCGTGTATGTGGATTAATCCAAAAGTTAGGATGTAACTACATGGAGGTGGGTTAAGGTTACATGGCCTTCCTCGAACATCACACTGAATTAATACACAATTCCTAAAAAAAAAAAAATTAGTGACTAGAAACAATATAGAGACCTAAAAATATGAACAGGAAACAGAAAACAACTTGAGTTGTAAGTGGTTATAGCAGAAGGTATGAGCGTGCTGGTTTTTTGTTATCAGAGCTAGCTCTGGTGTTTAGACTGTGTATCTAGTCTCATCTGATAAAGAAAAAAACTATCTTTCTGAAGTTCTAAGAATGCCTGACACATAGATAATAAATATTTGTTGGGTGGATGGATTTCACTGTATACACATGGAAAATAGCTTCTTGATTTCACACTAAGTCATACACAAGTAGGAGTTGTTCTTTGATTACAGAAGATAAAATGCTTTCTACTTTGTTTTTGATAGAAGTCATAGGTGAAGACCATAGAAGCCTTTAAATGATACCCAATAAATACTGAGAAGATGTATAGAGTAAAAGTTTCTTGAAGTGTGAGGTGGAAAACATAAAAGAACGCAGTTTTCTGTTTCCACCTGTAGTTCTGAGCAGGCTCGAGTAGCCATGTTCTGCCGCCTAGTGGCTACATTTGTAAGTACCTCCTGGTTGGGCACCTGGACCCTTCACATTTAAGGCCACAAAGAGCTAACATCTCTAAATCCATCCAGCCTTCTCTGTCAACTCCTTAACTGAATCCCGAACGAGAGTCTAAATCCAGAGGAAAAACAGGCCGTAAAACTAAAGTATTTTATTAATAATTTATTGTCAGTAAGAAAGACTGGCTAATGGTAGTTTTCAGTAAAAACCTTTACAAGACCGTTGCATCACAAATATACAGACACTATAAAAACTGTGTCGTGATGGTTTTGGTTCTAAACAGGTATGCAGAAGGTCCCCATTACACTTTCCAGTAATGAAAAATGTTTATAATTCTAAAATACAGTAACCCATTTAAGACATGTCCATGTACAAGATCTTTCCTCCTCCTATGTACAGCTAGAAATGAAGGACTAATACTGAAATGTCTTAATGGAATGTCATACTTCAATGGAAGAGGACACAATGAAACCCTGGTTGTATTAAAAAATCAGGGTGCTAGGTAATGACGCTAACACCACCAAATTTCGGTCAAAAACAAATGCACCATATGTCTTGAAAATCTAGTTAAAACTATGAAAAATCAAATCTGTACATAAAATTTACAAAAAAAAAGGAAAATTAAAATCAAATCTATATAAATACATGAATCATGCTAACAAGATGATAGGGCTGATTTTTCGTTTCATTATTTTAACAGACCAATGTAAATGCACACAGGTGTTCAGAAATGGCACGGCCAAAGGAAATCCCCCTCCCGTTACAGTAGGTATGGACACCGGAAATGGCGAACTTGTCAAGAGGTGCGTGACTCAGTGCAGCCATGCCCATTTTAGCTCACGGGAAAAAAAAAAAAAAAAAAAGCACTGAAGCACTGCTGCAGAGAACGATGTGGAAGATCATTTATATGATAATCTCCAGGTTCGTTAAAGTCCAGGCACTTTGGGGGGGAGTCTGAGCGTCAGACCTGCGTGTGTTGCTGGGCATCCAGCGGAGGGACCGTCACCTCTTCGAAGTGACCGTCATCCCCGCTCTCATAGTCACTCATCATGACCTCGGACTCTGCTTCACAGCACGCCGACACATCAGAGCAGGAGGCCGTGGAGGTATACACAGACATGGGCATGTTTTCTACAGGAGGAGCTTCAAAGTTTCTGGGATACCCTGGAGGGTAGGGGGCATAGGGTTCTCTGCACGTACTGTTCTCGCCGGGGCCTGTTTTTTGAGGTTCAGACATATCGACGGGATAGAAATTGGGCAGATACTGATTCAAGTGGAACCTCTGCCGGTTTCTCGAGGAAGAGCCCAGACTACCTGCGGCGGGCATGTCTCTGGGAGGGTGTATGGACTCAAACTGGTCGCTGAATTCCGGAGGCAAGGGGGGCAGTTCGTCAGGCACGGGGAAGTCTTCTGGTGGTGGTGGGAAATCGCTCTCAATGTCGTAGCCTCCAGGGTAATAGTCTGTGTCGATGGCATTTGGATCTGCTGAGTACAGAGGGGTCTGCTCGTCAATGACCTCGTAATTGGGGAACTCTTGTATATCTGGTAGAGGAACGCTGGGCATCCAATCCGATGTATCCCAGTGATACCCTTGGTAGGAAAGAGAACAGATTTCAGTGTCTCTTCTCCCCAGAGACTGTGAGAGTGGACTAAGAGCTCACTGTAACACACACAAATGCAAAGGCTTCCCACGGGTTTTTCCCTGTGGAAACCTCTGCTCATTGTTTGAGGGCCTCCCCCACCTCCAAGTTTGACAGCCTCTTTGAACTAGGCTCTAGTTCCAAATGGGGACCGACAGTTTCATGTAGGGACCTAACTTTCAAGGAAACAAAACAAGTCTGAACAGAAGCAGTGTGCTAGCGTCTAAAGGACATGCGCTCTTCTACAAGCGATTCCCATCACCCCCCTTCAGCTCCTGCCCGTCATTCAGAACCCACTGCTCTATATGAAGGTATCCGTTCAGGCTCAGGACACAGTGAAGAAGTTTGGTCCTTTAAACGCTTGATGCAACTGTTTAAGGTAATAAAAGTTATCTTTAACATGCTAACATTTAAAAAAACTCCTTTATAATCATATAAGCTTTATACTAAAAACTACGAATGACATTAATATAAGTATGTAACAAAGCATGCCTCCAAATCAAGCAAAATGCAATCCGACACTGAAAAACAGAGCACAATTTTTGATCAACAACCAGTTTTTGTTACTTTTACAAGGACAAAGGATCATTTTAGGCTATATTTTTTTAAAAAACCTCCCAATGTGGGAATGCCTCCCCCCCCCACCCGGCAAGGATTACGGAACTCCTCTGACACACAGGCGAGGCGACGTGTTTAGAATGCAGCATACAAACAGCTCTGGACTTAGTTACTGCGGCAAACAAGTGAAGCAAGTCAGCCTTGGGTCAAATTTTACCAATGTTTTTTAGTGAGTATCAATGAACAACTGGCATGCATAAGTCACCTCTTGATTTGCTGAGGTCAGGAGCAGCCAAAGACTCTTTTGGTGGCAGAGTAGAGAGAAAAGAAAACATTTATAATTAAAACAGAAAGACGGCTGAAAAGGCAATCAAGATCAGTACATAATACAATGCCAACTGTTTATCAAGGCCCAGTCAGCCATGGACCAGGCCTCTAAGCCATGATCTACGTAAGTTCCAAATGGCTGAGAAATGTACATAGCACAAATGAAACGGGACAGGGGAGGACAGGAAAAGATCCGGATGAGGAACTTTGCCAGGGAACTCAAACATGAATTTACTTTCTTTTCCTTTTTTCTGGCAATATGAACCTGAAAGCACAATTTGGTTAGGAATAATTAAAGTCTAAAGGCTCTACTAAATGTAAATAGGAACTTAAATGACACCTTCATGATACTGAGCAATATGATGACAGAATCCAAATACATCTAAAGCTACGTAAGACACACTTTACAGCACATTACAGCGCTCAAATGTACGTTACATTCAGACAAATTCACCAACGTAGGGACTTGTGAATCGCTAGAAGAAACTCTCTGCAAACCTTGCCCATTCTGAATGTGACTTGACATTCCCATTGTCCCCTTCTCCTGGGAGAGAGCATGAGCTGTGCTTACTCCTGTCCCCAGCCCAGCACTGCAAGGCCGCTCGCTCCTTCAGAACTCCCATCTCATACCAGAACTCCAGCACGAAGACCGGGAAAGAAGATGTAAATCCCACGTCAGTCAGGGCTTTGGCCCTGGGCAGGTTGCTTACCCTGGCTAAGCTTCAGGTTCTTATATTTGAAAGGGGAGTGGAAATCCCTTTATTAGGAGGATTAAATCAGATAATGTAGGTCGAGCCCGAACTCCTAGGATTGTCATGATTCTTATTCTTGGAAAGTAGTAATCATGGTAGAAACAGGGTCACTGCAGTGCTTTTCGGAACAAAACCAATGCTTTCCATGCATTCTACAATGTTCCTGAAAACCCATGTAATAAATTTGGAACAAACAGGATCTGATTGAATGATGGGTTCTCTTCCAGGAATTTAAAGCTAAAACTGAAATGACCATGGTGGTTCTAAAAAATGAATAAGCCAGTATTTAGTCAATGTGTATCTACAGAATTGTTCTTAAAATCTACTAAAAATGTGGTAATTTCTTTGAGAGGACTGACAACCTTTGTGACTCCAGAGGCACTCGATTCTTAAAATTCAAGCATTCAACTTTAAATACAGTTTCTATTATTTTTCAATGAAGGAGATCCCATGAAAGAACGGTTTTAAAGTTCTGCTTTTTAAAATTCCATCAATATTTATAACTAAAATCCACTAGACAAAATACAGATTACTTTCTGATTGACCAAGACACAGTACATGTTCTTAGGAAGGTAAAAGCCTCAGCCTGGCCTGCCCTATCCCGAAACCATCCTTCCTTCTCAACTCAATCCTGAAAACATACATGTCCTCCCAAAGACGATCCCCTACGCCTAATGCACTCTTGATGGTGTATAAAAAGATAAATTCTAAACCCTCCTGGGGATGGGATTTACAGTTTAAAAGCTACTAGGCTGTGCAATTTACGTGTGATTACTCAAATTTCAGTGCATTAACAAAGGGCTGATTTAATTTAAAGTAACTTTAGGTGCAGATCAATGCCCTTTCATAGAATTTTGAACAGAGAGATAAAAGCTTCATATTAATTTTCACTAAACCATATAATGAAAATAATTACTTTCTGCCATGTTCTATCATTATCCTTGATCACACTCAGGTAATTATAAAAGCTGTGTGTTAGTGTTATTCCTATGAAGAGGGTTTAAAAAAAAAGTGTTTAGCTAGAATGACTTCTAAGCTTCTTAATCCTGTGTCATGTAAAGCCAAGTTGTCAAGATCCTATGGGTCATTTCTGGTATCTACACAAATTCACTATGAGTGGAAAAAGAGACGAAGACGTAACACACATCAGAATATTTTTGTAACGTACCTCGATTATGAATATACATACACACCCGCACAGAAGTACTCAAGCCCGTCAAAACCACAAACGACTTTTTTTATAACACTACATACAACAGGCGAAAGCACACTATTCTAGTGGCAGTCACTATGAACACAAACACACACACACTTATCGTGACTATACCTTCTTCATCCACCGTGTCAACGACAGCGTTGACAAGGTGTATTACAGTCACTATGGAAGCTTGTGAAAAGGTTCAAAAGGAGTAAATTAGGAAAATCTTCAGTTAGAAAACAGTGCATTAAATAGGATTTCTTTACATTATATAATTTCTACCTAATTTAAAAACATGAAAACTTTAGCATAACACATAATATAATTATGCAGGACCCCTATACTCTCGCTATTATATAGCTTAGACATTTTTCTAATCAAGCGATACATATTTGTTATTAATCAAAGGGATAGAGTAACCACATTATACTATAATTTAAGACATACTTTAGCTCTAAGTTTTCTCACCTACAGATCTAGTCATGCCAAAACAATCCTTATTTTAATATCTCATGGGCAAAAGACTTCACATTTAAACAGTAAAGTGCTTGCTAAGCCAATTTGCTGGGTTTAATGAATTTGTACATTCCAAGAAAAAGTTAGCGTTACATAATAAGATAAAATACGTAATATAAATACAAAACTGGCTTTAATTCTGTTCTGTGTGCTCCCAACTCCAAATTTCTTATCTTTTTTGCAGACAGGCTAACAGCTGGGGAGCTAACATACCAGCAGAGAAATGCAGACTGTCTGCCTGGCTGTTTCCTAGGTAAATTCCCTTTTATTTGTAGATCAGACTGTTTTAAAGCATCTATGCCAAGATAAACATGTGTGCGTATGGTAAACTGAAAAATGGCCCTCCAAGATGTCCACATCTAATCCTGGGAGACGGGGAATATGTTAGCATCCCTGGCAAAGGGACCGACTTGGCTGATGTGATTAAAGATCTGGAGATGGGGCAGATTTTCCTAAATGGTCTGTAGGAGCCCAATGTATTCACAAAGGTCCTTAACAGGGCAGAATCTCTCCTAGCTGTGGGTGTAGGGAGCAAAGACTACAGGAGAATGGCTGAAGAGAGGCAATGCTGTCTTTGCAAGAAGACAGGCTTCTAGAAGCTGGGGAAGGTCAGGGAGCAGGATCTCCTCTAGAGGGGGCAGAAACACAGTAGCCCTGCCAATACCTCCATGTGAGCCCACTGACCTGTGGTGGGATTCCTAAACTACAGAACTGTGAGATGATAAATGTACCTTGTTTTAAGCCACCACATTTGTGGTAATCTGTTACAAAAGCCTCAGAAAACTAAAAATATAATTAACAGACTTTATGACTGATAAAAATTAAAATACAAACACTCCTGGATATGTTTTCTTTCTCACACTGCGTTTTCCAGAAATTAACTTTCATAACTAACGGACCACAGTTTATTACAAGTATTTAGGACTATTAAGAAGAACGATGTTTCAAGGAAAACACTGACAAGATTCTGAAATGTATTTATGAAGAGCATTTTAGGAACCAAAATATAAATTACATAAACTGGCAACACTACTGTTTTAAATTAAACTTAATGGAAGAAAGGATTCTATTCTTTTGGTTTAATAAGCAAAGCTATGCTCAGAGACTCCGTTACTAAGTAATAAGTAATAAACACAGGTGAACTCTGATCCGACACATAACAGGCTTGGAATCAGAAATGGAGTCAACTCATGGCCATCTTTAGTTTGGAAAAAGACTGCAATATATTATGAACTGTATTACTCTGGGTTTAGAAATAAATGATAATGGGTTATTTCTTTCCACCAAATATTTGAAATGGTTAAACACATTACATTTTTAAGGGAAAAAAAAAAATAGTCAAACTTACTAATTCTGAGCTGCAAAAATTTCCACCAACAACTATTTTATTACTGAATATTGACCATTTTCTCTACTGGTATGTGTTAACATGGCAAAGCTGGTTATTAACGCAGTTTACCTAGGGAAATCAGATCAACATAACTGGCATCAAAGATCCCACTGTCAAACTTTCTTCATTAGAAATATAATCAAACTTACTAGCCATCTCTTAAACTGCGCTCTCAGTCAGTACGCTCTGATCCAAATGGGAGCTGGGGCCGCAGGGGAGTTGGGGGAAGAGACAAATAAAACCTCGTACTAGCGAAGGAGCTACCGGAGCTGAACATTTCCGACTACCGCTTTGCCACCCGGGGGCACAGGAGTAGGAGGATGGGTCGGGGGCTGTGCTTAAGAAAGCTGCATTTTTTTTTTTTTTCACCCCCACAAAATCTCTAGAACATTTACTGTTGTGGGGAAAAAAAAAACAAAAAGCCCTAATCAGAAAAGATCTTCAGTATATTTTCTTCCCTATTTCTGACAAGCTGCTGCAGTTCAAATGCCTATCCCGTTAGGAATGTCTGAAATATTTTCCCCCGCAGATGTTCATGCAGGTTGTACAAGGGGCTGTGGGCTGTGTACCGGTGGTCTCGAGTGGGACGTGACCACAGTTGGAGCCTCCACGAGGGCACCGGGCACATCCGCAACATTCCACACGCCGCACCACGCCCACAGCGCGGCATTTCAAAACTCTTTACTCACCATTATCATCGCACGACTCGGACTGGAAGGAGCTGAGGGACTGCACCTCCGACAGGCTTTCCCGGGCGCTGTATGGGTGGGAAGGCTTTTCCTCCAGGGGTTTCTTGGAGAGACAGGGATCGAGGTCCACTACCTTAGCTAAAAGGAAGAGGTGACAACGGTCAGCCCCGTGAGGATAAGGCCTCTGGGTGGTTCACTGCTGTGTTCTCACACAGAGCAAGCAGCACCCAAATACTGCGTGAGCCCGACTAACTATGGGAACAACTGAAAGAAAAAAGAAGCATCTGAAAAGCAAACCAAAAACCTACAAACCTGCAAGCATTCTTGCAGATTCACAGAACAGAAAAATTCTCAATCACCCCGCTTGTGGAGATCATGAGCCAGTATGGGGACTTAAAACTTCCTCTTAAAAGGGCATACATAGCCATTTTTAAAGCATCAAAAGATATGGTAGGCCACTGCTATAAATACTAGCACTTCTGACTTTAAAAATCCATCATGCCAAATGCCCTTCCTAATTTGTCATAAAAAGCCCCCAAAATCCTAATCGAGAGCCCATATCCATCCCCAAAATGACAGGCTCTCTCCCGAATATTAGTGTGAGCAGGACTAGATTCAGGTCCTCGATTCCCGGGACATCACAGCCCCGGCACTCAGCCAGGGCAAGTTTCTCACATCACACCCAGGGTCTCGGGAGTGTGAGCCTACGTATCAACACCACAGGCTCCACAACGTGACTGGACCCACCCGAAGCTCTGGCAAACTGCACAAGGTCACCGTTCAGCTCAGTGACATTTTATGCAGATGCAAAGGGCCACTCTTACTGTCGTAGTCGAAGTCCCAGCTGGGTTTCTGTATGGAGTCGCTGTCGGAAGGGGAGTTTGAAGGCGGCGGTGGAGGCAAGTTTGGGGCCACGCTGCAGACGGCCACGGCTTTCCGGTGTCCGTGCACAGACTCGGGGTTAAAGGTGCTGAACTCCGGATGCTCTGGGATGGCAGATCCTTCAAAGGAATTGCGGTCCAGGTTGTTCCTGGAGTCGCTCGGAATGCTTGGAGTGTAGGAGATAGGACGGACAGGCACCTGGGGGGGTATGTCTGAGTAAACGTTCTTATTGAGCTTTGCATCGAAATACGGTCTTTGCAAGAAAGCGGTGCTGGGGCCCAGGTGCTTGTCCTCGGGTTCAGCCTGCTGTTTCTTCTTCCGACTGATCATCTTGCGGCAGAGGACAAACACCACCACCAGCAAAAATATCCCCGTTACGAAGACGAGAATGCCTATGCCCTCGGCCAGTCCGATGTTCCAGGGAGTGGACACGTACTGATTGGGCGAGGCGTCCTCACAGTGTCTGCCCTTGTACTCTTGGCTGCAGTTGCAGTGATAGGAGCCGTGCGTGTTCTCACACAGAGCCCCGTTGCGGCAGGGGCTGGTGGCACACTCGTCAACGTCGCTCTGACACCTGCCAAGAACGAGGACAGACACTTGCCACACACGTTGCGCCAGGCCACGCCCGCGGCTCCCAGAGACCAGGGACTGAACCCAAACAAAACAGAGGCGGTAACCACCAAAAACACACTACCAACAACAGTCGTGACCACAAAACACCTCTCGAGGAGTAATTAAGCACGAGAGTCTATACTGGGGACGTCGGGGAGATAAGCATCACGTCACGCCCTATTTAACTGCCAGGTGACTAAACCAAACTCCCAGGCTAAGCATTCAGTCTGTGTCTGATTCTCTTTGCTCAGAATGTGCATTTGGATAAACCGTATGCTGGAAACTGTCCTAACAGGCTGGGCTCAGATTTCTCATCTCCCTGCTTGGAAATACAACAGTCGCATAAAACATGGGAAAGGTTAGAAAACTGTTTCCCATTTCAAGACATTTCTCCTGCTGAAAACCTCCCACGGCCCCTCCCCTGACGGAACCTTCCCGGGCCTCTCCACGCCCTCTGCTCTTCCAAGAGGGGGCCCTGTGCAGATGTGCCCGGCCCGTCTCAAACCCTCCCTCCTTTAATAAAGTGTATCTACTGCCTCCCCCCCCATACTCAACAGCCATTCAACATTTGAGACATTTTTGTCAAATATATTAGGTATCAGTTGACTAGAATTAGGAAGGTCAACTTAGGAACGGAGACCACGTGACTGATGGCACAACTCACGACTCTAAGCACCACTGAGCAAAAGCACAGGCAGATACCTACACGCAGCTCACACTCAGAGCCTTCACACGAGACCGACGGTGCACACTTCAGGGAGGCATGAGGCACGTACAAGGAACATGCACAGAGTCACTTTATAAACGGAACGAGTGAAAGGGCATCTGAGAACTAAAAACTCGCCTCCTTCAAGGTGTACGCAAGCCCCGCTGTGCCTCATTTTCCTCCCCTGGAAAACGGGTGCTAGACGCTAGATAAATGTTAATTACGGCATATTCTGAAGAGAGGTCACGGTCATCCCACTCCGAAGACCGGTAACGACCTCCATGCGTGTCTGCCTTAATAAAACCATCATTCCACAAACACGTCCTGCCTGCGAGAACCTTACTGATCAAGATCTCTGAAGCGCAGAGGTAGGTATCCTCAGGCACTACGCTGTGTTTACCTGCTCGGTATTTTAATGAGTGAAAGGATAAAGTCTACAAGGACCTAAGGGTGGGGAACATGAAAGTCTAAAGCAACGTCGCCCAAATGAATAAAGTTCTGTCGCATCTGCGAATTGACGTGACACGACAGGGAGACGCAAATACAAATGTTGGAAGAAGCCAGTTACCTTTCTCCCCTAAAACCCGAATCACACTGACAGACAGCACCGTCCAAACTGTCAAAGCACGTTCCACCATTTTTACAGGGCTCATCCTTGCAGTAAGGGCTAAGCTGGCACCTGGAGGACACGGAAAGAGGCATCAACGTCACACTTTCACTGCAAAGGAATCCAGCACAACAGAGAACAAGAAGTAAATGTAGTCCTACGTATGAAAGGGAGGCATTTTAAGAAGTTTCATCCGGAGGGCTACACCGACCTCTGACCGGTGTATAATCCTCTGCACTGACACAGAAAGTCCCCGTTGTCCACGATGCACGTGCCACCATAAAGACACGGGTTGGAGGAACACGGGTTGACGCTCAACTCACAGTATGTCCCTATGTACAGGGCGCTGCATTTGCAGTAATAACCTGCAGGAGCGAAAGGGAACAAAAAGGTCCAATCATTCAATAACTCAAAGAATCTATCTCAGTATAATATTGGTTTTGACTTTTAAGAGAAGCCTTCGTTCTCTGAGACCCGTAGAAGTTAGTACAATTCGTATTCCCTCTGGGTACGATGTCATCGTCATCAACAAGATCTAACTTCCACTGTTGGTATAACCAAACCAAAAGAGCTGAAGAGAGAACTCATCATCAGCTTGACTTAATCATAATTTATGTAAGGTCACTGGGCCAAGCGTAGAGAGCAGGGAAAAACAGTCCTTTATTTGAGTGGCCATGCCAACTAACAACACTTACTACCAAACATCCCCATTTATTTGCAGCTCCCAAACTTTTAAAGGCTGAGATGATAATGTGGAAGTATTCGGAAGACTATGAACTACCATCAAGGGAAGGTGACTGTCAAATGTGTCCAAAGGAGCACAGAGAATGTCAGACTTTTGCAAAGACTGTGACATGGGACAGGGTGGTAGACTTTTTCCAGCTGTTTCTGGGGCAGGACTGCACTTCCCTGCTGCCTCTGAAGGTGGGCACGGCTGTGGGAGTTTCTTTGGCCAAAGATGCGATACTCTGAGCTAGAAGCTTTAGGAGCCCGGGCACCATTTTCTCGCCCTCCTGCTGCTACAGGGATCGTGCTTGCACGTTTCAAGAAAATGCTTCTCTCGGTCTCATCCCTGAGTCAACGAGGACAGCGTCCTTGCTGACCTGACTTGGACATGGAACGTGAGCACAGGATAAACTTTCATACTTTCATGCAGAGTATTATTCTGGGGATAACCTGGCCTGTTCTTTGTGTGGAGTATGCACAAACACTTCCCAAAGAAAATAACACAAAGCCAAATCCGTGGAAATCCCAGTGAAGTGCTATTCTGATTTTTGCTCCATTAATTACACAAAGCTCTCTCCTGATGAGGCACCATGACTGTCCTTTCATAGCTTCTATTTCTGGGAAGGGGACAAATAGGGCAGGTTAACAAACGCCACAGAGTACTCTACTACGCTAAGGCTTCAGGACACGACTGGCGACACTTCAGGAGGGTTCAAGGCATTCTGGAAAACCAAACCCCGTCTGTAGCAAGGCCAGCAGTCCCTAGGTGCTGAGCCATCAGATCTAAGGGAGCTCTCAAGAAGGACTGAGCGTACGGTTCTGAGTCCCACTGGCTCAACGCCGATGTGGTTGGAAGAAGAGTGCACAAAACACACACACAGCACAAGGAAGAAGAGGGCAGGGTTAGCTGTGGTTCACCAGTGGTTCCTGGTGCAGAACGAGGAGGTCCTGCAGCCTGACTGGGGGAAGAATCCTGAGTCCAGCCCTGCTCTGGTTTCCCTCCATTCCAACACTTACTGCAGGATCTGACACCATCGTGTGAATGGGAAGGGAAAACAAAGACTTGAGGAACTTGCCAAGGGCCTCCGCGCGTAACGCTCTGAAGATGACTAGCATGACGAGGCCTACCTCCAGGAGGCGAGGGGTGGCAAATGCCTCCGTTCTGGCAAGGGTCGCTTGAGCAGTCTTCGGTAGCTGTTAGTAAGCACCCAGGAGAGACGTCCACCCATTCTTCAATGTGCGCGTGGCTTCTCGGCTTGTTATTCAGAGGGAGCTCCTGCCCATTCAAGTAAATGGAGTCCATACAGCCCCTGAAACCGTTCCCGACTTGGGGGCTTCTCCCGTGCCTGGTGCCTTGCTGACGGATATGGCCACCGAAAAACACATGGTTATCCAGGTTTAGGGTTTTCAGGGTCCCGGGGGCTGTGCCTGACGCCGTGTGAACTTGGTCCAGAACCAACCTAGCATAGTTTCCATTCACTTCTAGAGACACGGCATGCCACAGCCCATCATTGACTTGAATGCTCTGCACAGACACGATGCCAGGACCACTTCCACAGTCAAACTTGTACTGTAGCCTTCCGTTATGAATCTGTGATAAAGACAATCACCGTTCACATTACCCTCGCAGGATCGTCAACGAGGAACTCTGACCAAACATCCAAAGGAGAGGTAGGTTTGGCGACTGAAGGGAAAGGGAGTGAGACTGCATTTTAAGCACTGCAGAACACACGCTCGTCTCATCACTGCGCCAAGAGTAGAAATGAACCTAATGCAAGTTCAAGTGCCAACTGCACCTCCAAAAAGCATCATGGAAATCACCCACAATTAACTGTTAACTGAATAACAACCAAAAATAGCATCAGGTAAAATCAAAAGTGGATCATGCATTTAAAAAAAAAAAAAAAAAGATAATTATCACTTACAAGCACTTGTGAATACTCTCTATAAACTGTCTAACATTAATAAGATATAATACTGCTTGGAGTTTGAATGTTAACTGTCACATGACCTAAAAAAGTTCTGAGACACTGAAGTCCATTTCTATACTACTGCAGAGCAAAAATAGCTTTTTAGCCCAAGAGTCTAAAACTCATAGAGGTATCAAGGAACTATTTAAGTGTGGAATAAAACCATTTCCCTTAAATTTTTTTTTTTTTTCCAAAAATGGACAATGTGAACATGAAATGGAATTCCGTGTTTTTAAGGTCTTCGGGTACAAAAACATACCTCCAAGATGCTGTAGTCAGTCCCACGTGCGTACATCACAACCGCGTGAGCCGAGTACGTTCTGAGCCTCATGGTCAGTTTCATCTCCAATTTGTTTTCATTTTCCATTAGACGGTATTTCACAAAGCTGTTTCCAGTAAATGTTACAGATGAACTCCCTGTGAATCACAAAGAGGAAAACATAAATCAGAACCAAGCTGAAGCGTATTTGTAAAAGTGAGATTCCCCCCAACACTGATCCAAGTTTTAAGGTTACAACATTATAAAATTCAATTCAATGGAAAAGGTCTATTTGCTTTAATAAAAAACACAGCATAACTGGATTTCCTTTTGGAAGAGAATTGGACTACTGTATCAGAGAGAAATGAATTCTAGAACAATGAAAGATCTAAATATAAAAAGGTTCAATATAAAATTATTAGAAGACAATTAAGGAAAATATTTACACAGCCTCAGGTGGTTTGGGGAAACTTTTCAAGCAAAATACAATGAAATTTGCAAAAATGATGAAAATAATATCACTCTCCAGAGGTGGAAATAGTTATGTAAAATTATACAGAATCGACAAAAATTAAATTTCAAAATGACAAGAAATACTGTAAACAAATCAAAACACCAATAATAGACAGTGGGATGGAGATAACATTCATGCTCACAGCACACAGAATGTTCTACACACTAAAAACAAGAAATAGACAAGTAACCCCAACAAGCAAGCAAAGAATATGAACAGGCCAGTCCAAGAGAGGAAATGGTAGTAGGAATAAATAAAACTTTCACAAGAAGCTGGAGCAATGCAAACTAAAATAACCAGGTATCATTTCATGCCCACTGGATGGGGGAATTTGTTTTTTAATTGAAAACCATATATTGGTAATAGAATGGGGAGTGAGACGGTCACACATGACTGCAAGAAAGGAATTGGTGTAACTTTCTGGGAAACTAATATAATGGTATATTTAAAAATTAAAAATATAGTTAATCTTTTTTTTTTTTTTTTTAAAGATTTTATTTATTTATTTGACAGAGACACAGTGAGAGAGGGAACACAAGCAGGGGGAGCAGGAGAGGGAGAAGCGGGCTCCCCACGGAGCAGGGAGCCAGACGTGGGGCTCGATCCCAGAACCCTGGGATGATGACCTAAGCCGAAGGCAGACGCTTAACGACTGAGCCACCCAGGAGCCCCAAAAATGTAGTTAATCTTTGACGTAGTAAATCCTAGTTTTAGAAAGCACCAATAAATAAGGCTATACGTATAAAAGTACTTTTTAAAAAAGTAAAAGTATAATTAACATACAATGTTATATTAGTTTCAGGACTACCACGGAATGACTCAGCAATTCTGTCCATTCCTCAGCGCCTCACCATGATTAAGTGTAGAAAAGGATTCATTTTTAACACAAGAAAACATCTTTATAACCTCAAGCTCTATGAATAAGGACAAAGTTGGAAAACCATGGTATAACCAACTGGAAAGCATTAGGTTTACGGCCACGGACTTGGGAAGATGCCCACGACATACGTTAAGCCACGGAAAAGCAAGCAGCAAACTCTGTGAGATGTGGTAACTTTTTTTTTTTTTTTTTTTGATAAAGATAATGTGGGAAAAATCACTCTGAATGTGTACATATGGGACTGTATGTTGACATGACCACAATCACAGAGAAGGAAGAGTGTCACTAGTAACTCAGGGGTGGGTTGTCATACGTAAGAGGAAGGAAAAGTGACTACTGCTCTCGATTCATTTGTATGCCGGACTTGTTATAATAAATGCACTTTACAACGTCTGTCAACCCCAATAAAGAAAACGATGGCAAGAAACACTTGAAAGTGACTTTTAAAAACAGGAGCGTGCTTCATCACTGAACTCTTACCTGGGCACTGACCAAACCTGCCACCCGGGCAGACGCAGGTGTATCTGTCGTCTCTGGGATCGGAGACGCACTCAGATCCCTCAGGGCATGGACTGTCTTCACATCTGTGATGGACAAGTGGGCATCTTCCCTCTGTTTCAAAAACAGAGGAGGGGGGGGAGGAAGCTAATTAACAGGAACTTCAAGAAAATGATCGTTACTGTGTAGCCTGCAAAGGCTTCCCGTGAAATGATCTGTACCCCTGCTTTCATCTACTTCTGTGTGTTACCTTTGCAGAGACACACGGCTGTTCTGTGGTGATGTGGAGTCACAAAACTCAGTCTGGCCGTGCTATGCGTTGACATAACGTTTTCATCCACGGTCACCTTCTCGTCACAGAATTTCCATGGGCAATCCAGTCCTGCACAGAGCTTCTGGAATACATCCAGTATCCTCACACCAATGATTTCCTCAATATCGGTCACGGAAGAATTAATCTTGTGCAGAAGTTGTTTGGTTGAAACCGGGGCACTACCTGATTTCTCTACGAAAAGCAAGACATCCAGATGTGGATGAGGTTCAGAGGGCTGCAGACTGACGATCTGTATGTCGTTCCTTCTCACACCCAAGACGTTCCGGAGAGCCCGCTGGAAGTTGCGCCAATAGTCACCAACGAATTCTTCCGGGGTGAGATTGGCGAAGCGGATAGCAATGGTCTGGTTCAGCATCTCCTGTGTGATCTGTCGGATGTGCACTGTGACGTCCGCCACCGTTGTAAATTTCCCATCGGTGACGCTGACGTTAAGAAGGTACTGCCCTACATCTAGCTTTTTGTGGGCTATCAGCTTACCCCCGGTGCTGGAAACAGAGAAAAGCTTGTCCATTTGGGGATCCAGACTGTAGCTTAACGTGTCATACACGTCTTGGTCCGTTGCGTGAATCTTCCCAATGACGCCGCCTGAGTATTCCTCTCCAAAAGCAGTAATGAAAATCTCTAGTGGTAAGATTGCAGGCGGATAAATGCTCTCCTCAATGACCCTGATGTCAATATATGTCAAAGATGACAAGGGAGGCTTTCCATTATCTGCCACCTGTGAGAAAATTAAAACAAAACAAAAACACCTTTGTCATCTTTGTCATTGTTTACAAGTTCTTACTCAAAATACATTTACATTGTTCATGTTTTAAAAAATTACCAATTACTAGATAGTTATTTCTTCATAAGAAGCCTACAAGGAAAAGGATAAATGCTTCTTCATAGCCCTTTCACTAACTCATAAGGAAGCTTAGCTCCATCAATGTCCATGATGAAGTAACCAAATGAATAAATGAGACCCCTCAACGTGCCCTGGGATGAAAACAAAGGTATGGCAAAAAAAAAAAAAAAAAAAAGGACCACAATTCTATTCATTTTGTTTTATCATGAAATGTTAAGCTATTTACATACAAGGAGACAGCCCCCAAAGGATCTCTCCTCTAGGAATCCACAGCAAAATCATGAAGACTTTCATACCTTAACATGCAGTAGGTAATGATCTTTCACCTTCCTCTTTATGTCAGCTGATGTCAGGAGGACCCCTTGCTGGTTCACTTCGAAGGCCCCGTGGTCATTCCCACTCACAACAGTAAAGAAGAAGGGTGGGCCGTTATGCGAGGAATCCTTGTCTGTCACGACCAGCTGCAGTACGCTGAAACCCACCGGCTTATTTTCCTGCAGGGTACAAGAACCAAAAACGCCTCGACTTTCAACAAAACCAAATCTATACGGCAGGAGACACAGGCAGGTTTTCTGTTACGTGATGTATACAGAAAACAAAGCCTTGCTGTGTTCCACTGGATAGGAGAAGAGAGAACAGGGGGTGGGGGGGGGCAGTGATGGGGAGGAGAAAGGGGCGAAGGGGAAAGGTGGGAGCTTGGGGAGGGCACATGTGAGAAGAAAGGATGCATGGGGAGCAGAAGTGCGAGAGGGATGGAGTGGGGGAGGAGGAAAAGAAAAGTGGATTAGATTCTCTGATGCTGCTCAAATACGGGACAGCAGAAAATCAGATGAAGGATCAAGCTAGTGAGAATGTCTTAAAAAAGCAAAGCACAAAAAGGAGAGAGAAAAGCTTGGCTGGATCTTGAAAACGCTCATTTTTTAGTATCGATGGACTCATTTTACTCTTCCTGTTTTTCTAAAAAGTAGTCTTTGGAAAAGAAAGATATTTCAAACGAACAACTGAGGCCAACAGAAGAGCTCATTTCAAAAGGCATGGGCTCGATGAACCACTGAGCATCCCCGAGATTACCTGGATAATGACACTGTAGTTTCCCTTGGAGAAGACCGGAGCATTGTCATTGACATCCGACACGTCGATGTTCACGGTGGTCGTGTTGACCCTGGGCGGACTGCCATTATCAGACGCCTGAACTGTGAGTGTGTAACCTGAAATCTTTTCAGACACAAAACAAAGAGAACACATGTCCACTTCACAAGGCCCAAACGCAGGGTTTCATCAGAAGGGGACTGAGAGCCTGGAAGGGCAGACCTGTGTACCCGTCCTCACTTGCTGTCTTGTATGTGGGCAATTCCCCAATCTACAAACAAGCACGCTGCAAATATCTACACAACGGAACATATGCGCTCAACAGGAAAAGTTACCAATGGTGGTTAGATTCTCTGATGCCTCTCTAAACATACTCATTCCATCTTTAAAAACCTGCAGATTAACAGAAATTACGACAGAGAAGTAATACAAACAATGAGAAAAATGTTAACAGGGCTCGAAAGCAATTGCTTTTGTAAGTAACAGGGATGGCAGCTTTCTCTAAGGCCCAAGTGGGACTGTCAGCCCGAAGCCAGAGGAAGTGGTCTTCCAGCTCTGAGGGCTCAGTCATCTTCAACACCTCAGGACACGCCAGATCACCCTCCCCCATCACTCGTACACTCAGATTACAATCCCCTGTCCAAATCCCTGAGGAGGAGTTCTTCGTGACCCCCTACAAAGGAAAGTTCATCAAGTGAGGTGGGCTCTGTTCGAGGGCAGTCCCCTGTGAAGCTTTCTCCTCAAGAAGGAGGTGGAAGACACCAGAAAGCGAGCTAAACCCCGGAGTATGTTCTGCAGAATATGAGCCCTGCAAGATGCTCCAACGGAAAAGGGCAAATGGCCTGGGACATACCGCACGCCATCATACCGGACATCAGTGCACCAAAGGAGCTGAAAAGCACATCAGTCACACTCAGTTTTGTTTGGCCAGCAGGATGGCAACCTGAAGCCTAACAGTCGTGCTTCCTAAGCTCTTGCAAAGTCCCTGCTCAGAAGTAACAGGACGCAAAAGGAATGAAAGAATTGAGACTTGACTGAGGTAGCTCATCACTATCTTCCCAAATTCCTCTCAGCTTTACCTGTTAGTGTTCTGAAACTATACTCCATTACCACCAATGTCCTTTGAATTCACTTCTGGACTTGGTGACCTCGCCAGGCAGCTCCCTGAGTGTGAGTGGACGGACGGGGGGTGCAGCCCGGCTTTCCTCTCTCCGGTTGCTCACATTTACCTCACTCCCTCCAACTGCCTCTGTCATCATCTCCAGAGGTCTGTGCCGTATCTGTATTTCCAGCTTTCAGGTCTCTTAAGTTTGAGTAAAATCTCCAAATACTGGCTGAAAATCTTTCCTTCATGCACCACTCTCCTCTAGAACTCGACTCATCAGACCCCACCGGCCACCACCACTCCCAGGGCAAAGTCAACGGCCTCCCGACGCCCTGGCTCTCCAGGAGGGTGGGCCCCAGCCACGGCCAGGCAGGAGAGAACCGACATCTCGGACGCCACTGCTTTCTATGCGGGGCCATATCGGAGCTCTGCGGACCCGGATTTCTCCTTCACGAGGTCTCTGCATTTGTCTGCTCGCTCACTCGCTCGTCATGGCACCTCCCAACCGGGCTCTTGCTGCCTCACGGTACGGTACCCGGCGCTGGTGAACACCGCGCACTCCCACTGTGACACTCACCCTCACACCAGTCTCCCCGGAGAGTTACCCCCAGGCTCCCAACTGCTCGCTACCTCCCTGCCGCCTGCAGCATCCAGCCTGAGCCTCTGATCCGTTCCTTGCACACCTTTCTACCGTGTCCCTCACTTCTTGGTGGGATTCCTCTACTCCAATACAACCCAAAATAATCACCTAAATACACACCACGTCCTCCTTGCCCCATGCCTCTGTTCACGCAGTTCCTCACGGGGACTCCCAGTCTCTCAACGACTATGTTTTCTGAGTCTCTGCCATTATTGAAAACCCAGCAACTAGCTCCATGAAGGGCCTCCAAACACTGGAGCCAAGAGTAGTTTCTTCCTGAAGATAAACCTTTTTATCCAAACTTCTATCAGCATGAAACACGTCTCTTATATTCTTGAGATTTTCCTACTGGAATTGCTTTTCCAAGTGTTTGTACCTCGCTTGTCAGTACCTGAACAAGGCTGGTTCTACCCTTCTCATACGTCCCATCATGTGACAGATGGGAGCACAAGGAACCTCTATGTACTGATTTGGTAATTTGTAAACAATTTAAGCCAAACTTTTGCACGTACTGTTTCCCGGTCTAGAAGCTTGGTCACTTTCACCTCTCCTCTGGTAGGGTCAATTGTAAATGGACTTCCTTGGTTACCATCTGTAATTGAATAGCGAATGTGGCTGTTTGAAGGTCCATCAGCGTCATCAGCCATAACCTAGAAAACATCACACTCCTGCTTAGGAGACAGCTAAGGAAGGGGCGGGAGTCTACTAAGCCAATTTCTGATATCAACAGCCAGCTGTTATAAGGCAGTAATTTATAACAGAGCCAGTAATTGATTGGGATAACAAAAGACATTTCCACATCTTCCAATTATTTTCGATAAGGCCACGACAAAAACTGGATGGACCCTCCGGAAATTTCCTTCAAAGATCCAGAAGAAGAACATGGTAAGGGAGAAAATACACACCGTGATGACAGACTGCTCGAGAGGGGCATCCTCACTGACCACTGCCGTGTAGGTGTCTTGGCTGAACACAGGGGAATTGTCGTTGATATCGGTTACATTAATGCTCACAGTTGCAACATCACTTAATGAAGGCGAGCCTCCGTCAGTGGCCTCGACAGTCAGGTAATATTCATGAGAGCTTTCATAATCCAGATTCTCAAGGATAAATATGGCCCCTAGATGGAAGAGCAAAATGACTTCCAGGACTTTCAAATGTTACCACTTCCTCCTACTGTGATGGGAACACACTTCCAAACAAACACTTCCATTTCTGCCTCAAAAGTCTGCTTATCATTTATTTAGGTTTTCTAATATCTTAGTTCAGCAATTAAAAATTATGAGTTTGCCCATCCCCGGATGCTCATTTATTTCTCTGTGGTATTTAAATTGCTCCTGCAGTCAACACTACCCACATCCCACTGTAAAAATGATTATATTTCTCCTCTCTTCCAAACCACCATCTACTATAGACATCCCTCTAATAATGTAGAAAGGAAACAGAAGAATTCTGCTCTTGGGCTTTTATTTTCCTTTCCCTTCTCTCATTGTTTCTCTTTTATAGAAATGTGTATCCTTTTTTTAATATCTCCAGAATAACTATTTACATCTTGTCACTAAAAAAGAATCCCTTTTTGATTTAACAATTCCTTTAACACCCTTCTTTATAGTCCATCCTATAAAGGAGCCCTAAAAATAATAATTCTATGATATGCATTAAAAAAAGGTTTTAAAATAGCATCACCACACACCTACTCTTCATCTGCAATAGTCACACGCAATTAAATACGGTGTGAATGGAGTGACTTTCTGCAAGGTTAGGAGACTTACCGCTGTTTTAGACCACAGGTTAACAAGACAACAAAAGTGTTTACGCAGCAAGCGTCAACAGCTCCTACGACTCTTGACCTTGTCGACAGTCATTCAGTTTGACTCAGAGTACTTCGGCTATTCTATGTAACTAGCATAATGAAGATGCCAATTTTAATGAATTATCAGATGCCCCCTATAGAAATTAAGATCAAAGGGGTCGAAACCACTGTTTCACGTAAGAAGCTACTTTGACATGGGTTCAATATGGGAGCGAGCAAGGAGCCCTTACACAAGATCCTCTTCCGTCATCTACGCTTTATCTTTACTAATTTACTACCTCTGACATCTTGACTGAATTACTAGAGTGTGATTCTTTAATTTTCCGCTCAAAAGTTCTAAACCACTTTGAATCCCACTTAAAGTAACAACACAAAGAAAAGTCGAGTTTTATCTTTCCAGAGTAGCTACTGCCGATGTCTTGATCTGTCTCTTTGCATCAGGTAAAGTGCTGGCGAGCTAGCCTTTGGGGTAGAATAAAGGGCTTCCTCTCATTCACAGGGTAGGTTACCTGTTTTAGAATCGATACTGAATTTTCCGTGTTCATTTCCACTTATTATCGAGTAGGTGATTTCTGCATTTGCTTCAATATCCCGACTGGCCGCATACACTTGAAGAACTTCTGTTCCGATGAGAATGTCCTCAGACACGGCAGCACCATATTCACGGTACTCAAACACAGGAGGGTTGTCATTTATGTCCAAAACGGACACAACAACAGTGCCCGTTGCGGTCAACCTCCTTGGCAAACCCTGATCTACAGCTTTCAAAGTAAGGGTGTACACAGCCTGCTGTTCTCTATCCAAGGGCTTTTCTAACTGAATGATTCCAGATAATTCATTAATGGAGAACTGCCCGTCAGCAGAGTTAATCAGTGAGTAGGAGATCTTCCGATTCAGTCCTGGTGACACATGACCATACGTCAGATTGTTTTATTTCGAGAAATTTAAACAAATTTTTTTTTTTTTTTGAGAAAACATGTAGCATATTAGGGAAAGTGCTAACATGCATTACTTAGACATTCTTATGACTATCATCTTTAAAAAGCAAACGTTTTCATTAACAATTTACTAACTTAAATATGACTTCATTGTTATCTGGCTTTTTAAGACTATGCGAATGTATGCTAGAATATCCAACAGCTCTTTTTAAAATGAAGTCTATTATTTAGCCTGTGTCAAAGATCTGAAAAGTAACATTTTTGTTATTGCTCTAATTCTTCAGTACTATTATGACTTAAATTATTTTTATTCTCTGCTACGGAAATGTCATAAATATGTATCCTAGAGGATTATACTCTCCATAAAAACTGTGAAAGGTCTGTAAAACTATACCAATGTAACATTTGCTTCTGTTCTATTTCCACATCAAGATCTCCATCACTAATGGTTTATTCACAAAATAACACTTCACTTAATTAATTCAAATGGATATGAAGAGCAGTTAATATAGTCACTAACCATAATTTTAGGGACACCACAGATGTCTTACGATAGTAAGTACACGGGGCACAATTTGGGGACTTCAAATATTCATTAAAAATGAATTCATTATTCTAAAAATTTCATTCCACTTTTAAGGCTGAGGAATTACACAATACAACAACGAGTTATTCGATATGCCTAAAGTAAGATAAGTTACAGAGACTGAATTTGGGATGTGTTTTGGACAGAGGTTCCTGCAATCTTCGAGCACGCTTAAAGGCAAAATACATCACCTAGACAGTACCTGCGTCTGCATCTGTGGCCTGCACCCTGGTCAGCAGCGTCCCAGGCTCTGTGTTCTCAAACACGGTGATGGTGTGCGGGTCGGCGGAGAACTCGGGGGCGTTATCATTCACATCTTCTAATGTGAGCACAAGATCAGCTTGACAAAATCTGCCCCCTCCATCTGTGGCCTTGACCAGAAGGTTATAAACTGCTTGCTCCTCACGATCAAGAGGGGCCGATGTTTTCAGTTCACCTAAAAACAAACAAAAATAAATGGATTCGCTTGAAATATAAGATGTGAACTGCAAACGCACATCTTATTTCTTCCCCTTTTCTCTTACGATGACAGAACTGGGGGCGGGGGGGCACGATGGTATCAGTGACAGGAGTCAACATCTGCAGGACCCCAGTGAGACCCAGGTTTCCAGACCCTGCTGGCTGCTGGCTCTTCAAGTCATAAAGATTTCGAGGCTAGGGCCTCTCAGATTATATATAATGTCACAAAAACAGGGGGGAAAAAAAAACAACACTGCCTAATTTACCAAATTTAAATATTTTTAAACTGACTCATAGCTTCATATGTTTACAATTAGTTCTGGGAGGGGTGGCTGCCAGAAAACTGTAATTTTAACAAAATACAAATTATAAGAGGGAAAACAGCCAAAGATTTACATACAAATAGAATACTATTAATTATTTTAAGGAATATGCTAAATTATTGGTTTATGCCCACGGACTCAAGAAAACTAACTATATACAAAATGCATGAAGCAGAAAGTTTGAGATATACTTAAATTTCAGAACTATTTTTAAAAAAGAGAAGTTGATATTAATCTAAATTTTAAATCCTTGGTTCAAGTAGGTGATGTTGTTGTTAATTTTTTTTTAATCTCACCCCAAATTTTACACAGCAAATTGCTGTGTAGATTTCTAAAAGATGCCGATTTTGTAGTATCAGAGTAAATTTTATAGGAACAGAACGTAATTTCAAATTTTACGTGGGACCTAAAACCACCCACATATGTGAGATGACTTTATTGGAACGCAGTTAATTTTGCCCCAAGCCCCATCTTTACCTGTGTCTGGATTTAGTTTGAATTTCTCTGCACCTGGACCAAACAATGTGTAAGTAATTTCGGCGTTGGAGCGGATGTCCGCATCTGTGGCAGACACCTGCATGATCAGCTTCCCGGGAAAGGCGTCTTCTGGAATCGTGTCTGAGTATAAAGTCTACAAAGATTTTAAGCAATGTCGTGAACACAGAATATGAAGGGTTAACATGACTGCCAAGGGAATAACAGAAAAAAAAAAAAAGACGTTTAACTTTGGTCACAGAAAACATGGGAAATGATGGAATTTAGAATCCAAGGAGCTTTGAAAACTATTTTTCTTATAAAACACATTTAAAACAAAACGGGAGTCAGGTAACAGGTAACAATTCCTCCGTGTCACTGGAAGAGTCTAACGTGGCATTTACCTACAGAATTCTCAATACCTGACGTCTTTGAGTAGGGTTCATGTCTAAGTTAAGTTCTTGTAAGAAAATATAAGTATTCCATATTTACCCCAAAACTGGAGAGTAAATGCCTGTTACATCAATGTCTCCTTTTCAATACAGAAAATCCATTACTTGCAATCCTTCCCAACACATGACCAGATATAACTGCAGTTGAGACATCGGTCATCCCCATGTCACAGGAGAAAACAAAGAATCCCCAAAGGTCCCCGGGGTGGGGGGGGCTCTTGTGCTAGCCTCCATCACCCCCTCCCTCCCCAGCTGACCGAACTCAAACATAATGAACGGTTAGTTCCAGTTCTAACTAATGAGAAACTCCTGCCATAAACCAAAACATAAGACAAACAGGCTGAGATTTTGTTGACTTTTTTTTTCTTAATGTGAGCTCAGTTTTAGGTAAACGACATTTTATGGCTCATGAAACAGGATATTTTGCAATACTGGTGATTTCAAATGATCTAATGTCCTAATTTTATTATTCCCAAAGATCACAAGGCATTGCATCCAAGTAATATGCCAAGTGTTAAAAAAAAAAAAAAAAAAAAGGCAAAACACACACATCGATTTTCTGTAAGACACACACAGACATCCTCCACCCCTCCACCACCCACCCACACAAAACCCTGCTGCCAGAAAGTCTGCATGTGGATCGAACTCCTCATTCCTCCGGAGTTTCCCTTCCCTCCTGAGCACACTGTACTTTCCAGAGAACAGCTCTGTCCCCTTCCACAGCGGCGACACTGCTCAGCTTCTCTGTCCCTCTTCAAGACCGTTGTCCCTCACTCTCCCCAGCCTTCCCTTAATCTACCAGTCCTTCCTTCCTCCGACTCTCCTGTGTGTGCAATTCACACACACCCTCCCTGCCGTCAGGCATCCATCCGCATCTGGATACAGAGCCCACGGTCCCCAAGCCAGTCTCTGAGTCCCAAAGTCCTGTTCCACATCTCACTCATCCGCTTGGCCGCCAAACCTTCACTCGCTGTCCTGCCTCCTAAAAGTCCTCTCCTCCTGCGCGCTCAGTAACACTGCCTGGTATGGTTCTCCTCCGCCCGCCTCTGCTTCTCCCTCCCTTCTCCCCAGGAAAGGAAATACGCCTATGGACTCTCTGTCTCTTTTTGTTACTATCCTCCCAAATGGATTCCGCTGTCAGTTCTCCATAGAAACTGCCAAGTTTACATCTCTCCCGATCTCCATCTTTAGTCTTGCCATCTCTAAATGTCTACAAAACCTATTCCACTGAATGTTCCGTTACCTAACACCAAGTCTGAAGTGGAACACAACACGTTTCCTCTTAGACCAACTCCACTCCAGGCTTGTATCTTTGGTCTCTCTCCCTCTCACCTCTGTAGGAAACAGCAGAGTCCATCCTGATTCGACACGCCTGCCATGCTGCCCCATGCGGGCAGCACCAAGGGCACCAGCTTGTCCTTTCTTCTCTTTGGCCACCTCGGCCTCCCCTCCCACCCTGTGTTCTCACACGCGCCCACCTACATGCACACAATCCCGCCAAACTCATCTTCTGTAAGGAACTCTTCGTTCAGGTCCTCTCCACCTTTCAAATACAAAAGGAGGCCGAGTCCCTCTTTGCTCTAGGATAGAGTCCCAATCCCTTTGCTTATCTCAGTACCACCTCCCCCAGGCTGAGCTGCTCCTCACCCCCCCCCACCCCCCAGGCAGCAGGGAGCATCGCTGCTCCAGGCCTCCCCCAGCAGCCCCGGACAGGAACAGCTCCTCTCTAGTCTGTTCTCCTAGGAAATGGGCGCCCCAGCTGCGAGAGCACCCTCATTAACCTGTTTCCGTGGTGTGTGGAAGAGCAAGTGCCCCCCAAAACCAACTTGTTAAAGCAAAATGGAGCTTTGTAGATGAACTACTGCTCATCCCCCAAGAACGAGAATGATAAACGTCACAAAGCATTTTTAGAGTCAAACACAAACTGTAAGCCTGCCCATAATTTACAGTATTTTTGAATGAGATTTTAAGCTACTTAGCATTCCCCAAAATAGTTCCCGAGCTAACGCTACTCTTGCTCCACTGAACACTCAGCTCTGCTTAAACAGTAAGAGGTTATAAAATGAAACGCAGCTGAATTACACCCAGCATCACAGGACGATCCTACCGAGAGGGTGAAGAAAGAAATCCAAATTCATAATATAGAAAGAAAGAATAGCCCACCTTTTCACACACTGGACTGTTGTCATTTGCATCAAGAACTTTCACTTCGACTATGGCTTTTGATGAGAAGGTCCCATCAGTTGCTGTGATGGTCAGAAGATAACTGTCCCTTTTTTCCCTGTCTAGAGGTTTCTTTACATAGACCTTCCATTCATTCTGTATATTTTCAATAGCAAACTGTCCCAAAGGATCTCCTCCTATTAAATCAATAGAGAAAGAGGACAGTCAAAATTTGTTGAAATAAGGAATGATCTAAGTAACAGAAGAAATAAACTGCTCAAAATATATATGTAATAATATGGTTTAGAAGAATTAAGGTTTTTTTAAAAAAATTACTACAATTAAATTTGGTATATTAGCTTTCCCACTTACCACCCCCCTCCCAACATCAAGGCATTAAAATGAGTATTGAAACACAGCATTAAGCTAAATAAAATGTAAAGCCTACTTAAAGCAATACTTCAGCCTATATTGAAACTACAGTTAATTATAATATACCTACCATATGCTAAGCATAAAGTTCAACAGAATGAGTCCTAAACATCAAAAACAGTCGAATAGGACAACTCTTCGCTTTCCTCAGGCGAAGAACTTGAAATGTAGCCTAATAGCTATTTCTACTTATTTTAGACATAACTAATTATGTCTAAATAATAGATTATTTCTACTTATTTCTACTTACTTTAGACGTAACTACTAAAATCATCCCCTTAACTCCCCATTTCCCTAAAACATGCACTTCAACATGTACACCTCTAGTACAATTTATTTTTAACTTACACCCTTCCGTGTAAATGTTTTTACCTGTGATGTAATATTTAACTTGTCTGTTCATCTCTTCAGAGTCAGCATCTGTGGTACTTAAGATGGCAATGACACCGCCCGGGGGATCATCTTCGCTCACAGTCCCTTTGTAAATCTCCGCCGTGAACCGCGGGGGGCTGTCGTTGACGTCAGTGACGGTAACAGCCACAATGGCTGTGGAGGACAGCTGAACCTTCTCACCGTGATCTGAGGCAACCACTTGAATCTGGTAATTGTCTCTCTTTTCATGGTCAAGTTCCTTCAGGGTTGTAATCCAGCCTGTCTCCACGTTAATGGCAAAAGATTCGATGACTTCTACACTTTGTGACTGATCTAGACTGTACATGACCTGGCCGTTGGTTCCTGAATCTAGATCAGATGCCCGAATCTGGAGGACTCTACTTCCCCCTGGCAGGTTTTCAACAATAAATGCCTCGTATGGGTTCGACTCTAAGACAGGGCTGTTGTCGTTGGCATCTTTCACTTGGATGCTAACATCCACAGAAGCCACCACTTCGTAGTCATCGTGAGTGCACCTGGCAAGTACGGAAAACTGGTACCACTTGGTTGTCTCGTGGTCGAGACTCTTCTCCAGCTTCAGTCTGCCACTCTGCCTGTCGATCACAAAGAACTCATCCCTGTTACTTTCGGGAGTATTCCCTTTGATCAGGCTGTAAAGAACAGTCCCACCATGTTCTGCTCGGATGAGATCGATCTCTGTCCCAATAGGCATGTCTTCTGAAACTGTGTAGGTATAAAATGGCTCGGAAAATTTGGGAAGTTGTATTTCCGGTGGAAGTATTTTCACATAGACGGGAACAACAGATTCTTTGGATGGAGACCCACTATCCACAGCTCTCACGAAGAAAGTGAAGAACTCATTTTCCAAGCCAATTAGGCTCTCTCTTGTAGTTATTACGCCAGACATTTTGTTAATTTCCAAATTCTCTTTGACGCTTTCAGAATCTGCTTCAATGGCATACATGACGTCGGCATTGGATCCCTCATCAGCATCACTCGCGAGCACTTTCGTGACTGATGTCCCTTTGGGAGCACTGGATCCGATGTCCACTTCATACTTGGTTGCTCGAAACTGGGGTGCGTTGTCATTGTCATCTGTAAGGATGACATTAACGGTGCAGAAAGCAACCTTTCCTCCAGCATCCTTGGCCATTAAACGAACCGAGATCACCTTCTCCGCTGGGGTTTCTCGATCAAGTTTCTCCAGAGTAAATATCTGGCCTCTCTCATTTGTGTAAAATCGGTCTTTGGCAAAGTCATTTACAATATGGTAAGTAATGTGACCGTAGATACCAGAATCCCCATCAGTTGCTTTAACCTCAATCACCAGGGTGTGTAAGGGAGCATTTTCGGCTAACTCCACTTCATATTCGCTCTGAAGAAAAACAGGGCTGTGCAGATTGCTTCCAATTACAGTTATGTGAACCTGAGCTGAACTCCTGAAAACTCCATCAGAAACAGAAATGTTAAGACTATAAAACGGCTTCAAGGTGTGCCGGCGCAGGTTGGAGAGTGTGATAATCCCCGTGTCACTGTCAATGACAAAATTCTTATGATTGTTGCCAGACAGAATGGAATAGTCCAACTTGTCTATGTCTGAACTGTCTGCATCATAGGCTTTAACACAGGTCACGAAATGCCCATGAACAGCTTGCTCACTAATTCTGGCTTCATAAATCTGCTGGTCAAACAGTGGCGGGTTATCGTTGAGGTCCGTGACATCCACAGTGACAATCACATCACTGCTCAGTGGGGGCATGCCACCATCCACAGCCCTTACAAAAACCTTGTGCTGCTGGAACTGCTCATAATCCAAAGTCCTAACTAGCGAAATGAGGCCAGTGCTGCTGTCTATGTGGAAATGATCGTGACTCTTGCTATGATTCCCAAACATGTGGTATGAAATTCCCCTATTGGGTTCTGAATCCGAATCTGTTGCTCTAACTTGAACGACAGACGTGCCAATGACGGATGCCTCAGACAGGGTTGTGGCGTAAGACTGCTGAACAAAGACAGGAGGGTTATCGTTGATGTCTTCCACGATTATGTCAACAAACACCTCAGCATGGGCGCCAGTCAGGGAGTCGGTTGCTCGGATGCTCAGCTTATACGCTGGGTGGGACTCAAAGTCCAGAGGGGCTATGACATTTATGACGCCAGTGTTGAAGTTAATGGTAAACTGGCTAAAGGGATCTCCATCTGTGATGCTGTAGAACACTTTCAATCCTTCTGGACTGTTGGCTTGTATGTGGACAACCGGACTGTGCATCTGGATATTCTCTGGAACCTCTGCGCTGTAGAAAGGCTTTTCAAACACAGGCATGGCTTTATTCATAACAGTGATGGGAACTATAACTTCAGCGGAAAAGGCTGGGTTCCCTCCATCTTTTGCAACCACTGTGATGAGGTATTCTTTATTTAAGGTGTCAGGCTCAAATTGCTTTTTCAGTGAAATTTCGCCTGAGGATCCAATTTGAAAATGTTCGTGATGTTCCTTCAGGTAGTAATGCACTTCCCCATTTCTGCCGCTGTCTCGGTCCACGGCGGTAACGTAGCGAATCACGTGGCCCACCACGGTGTCCACTTTGACGACAGCATAGTAAGGAAGGTTGACAAACACTGGTGCATTGTCGTTCTGGTCTTCGATGATGACCTTGACGACTACGTGGGCCACCGCCGAAGGCTTCTGTTCTTGGGTCACTTCTACGACCACATCAAATGCCTCCTGCTGTTCGCGATCGAACGGTATGCCAGTGGTTGACAGGACTCCTGACGTCCGGCTTATTTTAAACCTGCGGTCTGGGTTGAGGATCTGATAAAACAAGGGCTCATTGATTGGGTTCCCAATGGCAGTAATGACAGCTAATGTTCTGGCTTCGGTGGAATTCTCTTTCACTACTGCGGAGTAGAAATCCTGGGTAAACTTCAGTTGACTTTCTTTGCTTTCTTTCACGTTAATTTTCACAGAGGTAAAGCTTACAAATCTGCCATCAGAAGCTCTCACAGTTAACTCGTACCGGCTTCTTAACTGAGTTGTGTTCTGCACGGTTATAGTTCCTGTCTGGGGGTCCGTAAAAAACTTCTCCCCGATGTTGCCTTCGGTGATGGAGTACATTAACTGTGAGAATGCACTCGAATCGGCATCTGTAGCATTTACTGTGATGACTTTTACTCCTCTGTATGTTGGCAGCAAGAGAGAAGCTTCATATAATGATCTGGAGAACACAGGAGGGCAATCATTAATGTCGATTACACGGATGGTCACGTTAGCCGCGTACTCAGCGAACAAACGTGGCGTCCCCATGTCATGCACTTGTACAGTAAAGTGAAAAGAACTTGTTTCTTCGTAGTCCAAACTCAGCACCGTATGAATTGCACCAGTGCTAGAATCAATAGCAAAGTATTTGCGTACAGATGGTTCAACAATGTGATAAACAAGCAAAGCATTGGATTCTTTATCAGCATCAGTTGCTCGAATCACTAACGGGACATTCTTGTCTGTTAGGACCACACTGTTGATTGAAGCTGATTCGCTAACGAGTCCCGTATATTCTGCCTGCATAAAGACCGGCAAGTTGTCATTTTCATCCTGTAGGTGCACTAGAACAGTTGTGTTAGTAGACAAACCAGCCATGTTAGTTCCTTGGATAATCAATGTGTAAATGGGCAAAGTCTCAAAATCCACGGCTTTCTGAGTAATGATACTTCCAGAATGTGGATTAATATCAAAAGCATCGGCTACATTTCCATCTTTTATTTCATACACCACCGATGATTGACTGTGGGCTGTAACCATGCCGACAAAACTCCCAATGCCGACGGTTTCACTGATTTCCACAGAATATTCTTTTGATGTAAACTTAGGAGAAGCGTTGTCCGCAATTGTGACAAAGATGTGCACAGAAGCTATTTCACTCATTGGTGGATTGCCTTGATCTGTAGCTTTTACCATTAAGTCATATTCCACTTGGCTACTTCGATCTAATTCTTTGGCAGTTTTTATAGAGCCCAAGATGGGATCAATTGTGAAAGAATTGCCAATATTTCCTAGGAGGAGGGAGGAAAAAAAAACCATGTTAGAGAAAAATACAAGGACCCATCAATACAACTCATAGTTGGAGATACAGAAACAAAGCTATCTCTAGAAGTGATTTTCTAAAATTAAACAGAAATTCGGGGCTTATCGACATTTGAATGGAACTAATTTCATTTTTAGCCACCTAAAATGCCACAGACTTTTCTGAGTTTTGTCCATAAATTATGAAAAGCAAGAAACAGAAGAAAGATTACTCTATAAACCTAAAGCTGGAACTCACTTGCTATCGGTTGAGCCAGGGATGTGTTGTGGAAAGTATGGTTATCCTTTGGTAAGGCAGATATGAGTTTTCCAACAGTCCCCCAAAAAACCCTTTGAAACATACTTCTGGTTTCAGCATTTATCACCTGTAAGTTCTCAAGATTCTTATTCATTATGAAAGGGAAGATGTCAATTCACTAAGAAATTTTAACAAGCTTCAAGAGAGTTGTCCCTTATTTTAAATATTCAGGGAATTGATGAATGAGCTTGTGTGTAATCTGCCCCACTATGTACATTTCAAAAATTTCAGTCATATTCCCTTCCTTAATCTTTTTCAGGTCAATCTGCTCTCTACGTCCGCGGTTCTCTCTACTGAGGGAGGACATGCAACAATGTCTAGACACATTTTTGGTTATCACTACCTCGAGTGCGCTACTAACGCAGAGACCAGGCATGCTGCTAAACATCCTACAATGCACGCACAGCCCCCACAACAAAGGATATTTTTGCTCCAAAGTATCAACAGTGCTGAGACAGAGAAACCCCACTCCAGAACAGACTGTTTCCCTTGCTTCTCTTTGGACCTTTTCCAGCCATATTGTATACAGATATTTAGCTTCAAATGCAACTCTATAATCGTTCCCGGTTTTGTATCATCACGGAAATCTTTCTGAAGACACCAGCAGTTTATTCAAGTTTAGCACTTTACTATCTTTTTGGATAGATTCAGGCAGTGTTGTGAGGGTCCTCAGATTTGATCCACCTACCCACGCTTCATCCCCATTCTGTTTCACACCAGAGTCCAGAATCCAACATCCTAGTCACAGAACTGAATTTATTTTCCCCAAATGAACTATTACACTTCCCCACAACAAAGCTGATGTGCCCCTTAACTGCTTTTTCAAGTTCTGTTTTCTAGATTTGCAACCGCATGGGGTACTTCATAGGCCAGAATGACTTACCGTGTGATTTGCAAACCAGGAGACCGACCAAGCACTCCTTTCCCCACATCATTACTAGTAAACACTTCCTCTACAGCCTTCATTTCCTTCTGTTAATACATTTTCCAAAAATCCATGATACAATTTTTTCTGAGGCCAGGTCCAGTCTGGTTTTCATTAAGCCTGCCCGGCTCTGAAACAGTGCAGAGGCCTGGGCTTTCTCCGGGCCCCCAAGTTTTGAGCTGAACCCTCACCCACAAACGGGTCACACTGCCTCTACCATGCCTCGTAGACCCTAATTTCTGCCTGTCTGCATTTATGAGTCAACAATCCCAGATTCTCTCATTGTGCTTTAGTCACTCAGAATTCCAAGGACCTCTCTCATCCTACGTGGGTGTCACCCTATCTTTCAAAACCGTGACTAGTTGCCCGGGACTGACAGGGCGACCACGAAAACCTGTGGATGACAGTCTTCATCCCCACCCCCTGGGCTATCCTATGTCTGTACTAATGAAGCAGCCAACCTACCACAGTTTACATTCAATCATCTCTATCCCTTTCTCTCATTTTGTACAGTGAAATCTTAAAGCTTCAAACACAAAAGGCCCTAGAGAACAGAATGAATAGATTTTACCTGCGTTAAAGCAAGCTGGCGGCATTAGAACCCACCACTGTCCACACAACGTAGTCCCTGCCCTCCAGCCATGCTGGCTCCTCACTCCTCAACCAGGAGAGCACATGCTCATCTCAGGAGGACTGTATTTGGGGGGTCCTCTCTGGAACAGTCTTCCCCAGCTATTCTCATTGCTTCTCATTCATTCATTCACTCAGGTTTTACCCAAATGTTCCTCTGCTTAGAGAATGTGATGGTGAAGCCTTCCTTTACCTCCCTAATCAGGATGGCTGTTTCTGTCCCCATACCCTGTTTTTTCCTCTATAGCACATATTGCAACCTTCTTAGCCATTCTCCCACTAGAACGTTAAGTCCCCATTTAAACATGGCTTGTTTTATTCATTATTTATCACCCGTGCTTAGAAAAATGCCTGACACATAGGAGACACTCACTGATAAATTTTTATCAGCATGTAAAATTCAGAAACATTACTACCTGGAGTATCTTAAGAAGGTTAAACAGGAACCCAGGGAGCCAATTAACAGACGGCTCCTACATACATCTATCCTGTGGCAGAAATCATCAGATTTGCAGATGGGCAAGCAACATGTTTATGTGGAAGAGCACTAAGGGTAGCTGCATGGCTTACACATGCCCCTGTCTGATCCAATAACAGGTACATTCATCAAATACTGAAATACACATGCGGTATTTGTGAGGGAATTAATAGGGCAAGCGGTAGAGTCTGTACCAGGTTGGGGGCTTAGTCATTCACTTGAGCGGGAGATACTGGTGATTTCTAAATAGCCTTAGATTGTTCTATTTGAAGGAGGCAATTATCCAGACAAACAAGTGAATTTGTGCACATTAGCAAGGACTGTATTACATACATATACCCCAAAGGGCATGTCAGAGCCGTGCACAGAAATCCATTTCTTCCTACTGTGCACGTGCTGTGGACGCTCAGTGAAGTGCTGACCGCCCAACTGTTGGCAGCCTCAAGTGGGAAACCTAAAGTTTCACCTGCAATTATATTTAACCTAAGTTTGGGGAAGGAAATCAATTCTAGTTAATAAGTACATACACTGAGTGTCTTCTATCTCCAGGCATGATGATAGTTTTGAAGTTACAATAATCTACTTTAAAAAAAGAAAGAAAACACCATACAGTCCAGAGTATGGCCCTGATTGTCTCTAAACACATAAGTCAACTGTTCCGGAAAATATCCTTTAATTAATTCTTTTCCCTAAAGACTCCCAATCAGACCAAACCCTTCGCTCAATAAATTGTTGCTAATTAAACATGCAGTGTTACAGCCTGAATCTGTAACTAGTTTTTTGAACTTTATTAAATGTAATCTGACACAAATGAGAAGTGGGTGAATATAAATAAATGAAAGGAGGTATGACCATTTTACATTTCCTATTATTTAAACAGATTCACATACACACTTCTGCATTTTAATGGTAGCTGTTGCCTATAAAGTAATTCTTTAGCACACATTTTGTATTAACAAATCTATAAAGAATATCCTCTTAGAAGTCCAAATTCTATATCAAAATAGGCCCTTGGTATCATCTATTCTTTGAGGGGAGATATAGTTCCATTCTTGGAATACCAAATTACTAATCCCATCAGTCATTACAAGCATTTCAAGAATGCACATGCCTTCAGTCAGGCACCAACAATCATATTTTAACCACCCAGTTGTTGAAAATTATGTGAAAGCTAAGGGAAAAGTTTAACATTTTCTCCTACACAAACCCAGGCGGTTTGTCTATGAGAAAATTATTTTGCTGAACTGCTCAGGCATGCACAAATGGAATGCACTGTTTTTTTTTAACAGCTAAATTTCTGAACCAGTGGAAAAACCTTCATCTTTGTTCAAGGCGCTAACTATACTACATTTTAATCCTGAACCCCGGGCAGTACAGAAAATCTTATTTGTGGGTAATGGACTAAATTTGGTTGGTTTGGGGGAAACAAATGAGGCTTCAAGTGTATTAAGAAATAAAAATAGTTTAATCACATAAAACACATCGATTAAGTGGTTGTTGTTTTTTTTTTTTTAAATTACTCCCCATGCTCAGCTTTTGATTATATGACCTAGAGTTAATTGATACCTCTACCAATTCTAATGTCTAGGAAAGGCACAATTTTTAAATACGCAAAGGAATGGACTTACACAAATCAAGTTAAGTGCATGATATTCTAAAATCATTATAAAGACAAAAGAATGAGAGAGTCTATATTCTTTGTACTAACAATTACCTTGAGAAACATGGAAAAATGGAAGCAGGCTTCTTGATACTTAATCACTTATTCACTATATGTGGCATGAATAGGGAAGGTCCCAAAACAAAATGAATTCTGACCATACAAATCATATACTCTAAAGCAGATCCCTATTTCAATCAGGGGCTTCCCTTTTGCGCGAACATACATTTGTGGACCAATGATAGCCTCTGTATATATCACGCTCCTAGCACGGCACGTGATACAGAAAATATGCTTCATTAGTCCATGGAATGAATAGATGAAAGACTGTGAATAGCATTATAAAAGAGAACAGAGAACAAAACATTTCACTTTGATCCTCCTTGTAACTACCAGCAAGACTCTGGACCTCTTGCCCTGTCATACGTAGAAGAAATGTTCAAGGCCTTCCTTGCCCAACTCTCCAGCAGACTCCTTGGGCTTTTCAACATCTCCAGTCCAAATCGCAACCCTGGGGCCCACTGTTAACAGCCCAATTCCATGAAGAAACTCAACTGTTAAAGGTGCAGGGGGGTGAAAGGGGCAGCACAGACATGACACCTAGTGCTCCGTCATGGAAATTCCTACTGTGCCCAAGAGAAAATGCTCTAAAAGTTAAATTACTGAGGCCAGTGGTTTCTTAAGAGTGTTTCATAGTTAACAAATAGTATGAAGGAAAATGCTGCATGGTTAAAACATTGTGGAAATATTGAATTCGATCAAATAGAGTTTTCTTCACTGCAGAACTTCTCAGAGCCTTGAACTATATGCTAATTAATGTGAATCCTTTTATTAAACGTAGGACTCTCTCTCTTTGCTTTCTATTGAGTTAAAAGCTTAAAGGACAAAAGAAGTCTTCTTTCTCCTAATATGAAAAATGGTAGCTAAAGATCAAATTAAGCAATTTTTACGGTGACATGCAGAAATGTTTCTACACACAGAACTAGTTTTAGAAAATAAATGTACTTTTTAAAGTTAATCTACTAAGTGCTCCAAAAATACCTGATTCAATCGAATACAGCACTTCAGCATTCTTCCCTTTGTCCTTGTCCAGAGCTGTAACCTGCAACACCACTGAGCCGACAGCCGCTGATTCATAAACCCGCCCTTCATAGGAGGAACTCGTGAACCAAGGGGCATGGTCGTTCGTATCACTGACATGAACAACAATCCGTGCGTAGTTGCGTTTTACAGGGACATCTTGATCCCGCACCTGAAAGAATCAATATGTTAGCAGTGCTGTCGGGGGTTTCCCTATAATTGATTAAAAATCACTCTCAAACATATGAAACCCTTCAGAATCTGAATGGGGGCCGAAGAATGAGCAGAAAGCCGTACCATGACTGTAAGAACATGCTGGTGGTTGGCTTCATGATCAAGTGTTTGAGAAGTATAGAGAGAGCCTGTTGCAGGATCAAGTCGAAATTTCTTGAGACTCAATGGATCGATGCTGCTCTGCAGAGTATAGATTAGCTTGTTTTTCTCATCCTTATCCATTGCACTGATTTGCAAAATTTCTGTTTCTGGCACTGTGTCTTCAGGAATAACAACTTCATACTTTGATGCAGAAAACTGAGGACGATGGTCATTTGTATCTATCACCTTGATAAATACCTATAAGGACAAAAATGACTCACATTATAGTAATATCCTTAATAATGATATTTTATTATTTACAGAATCAAGGGGAAACATGAGATGCATATTGAAAAAAACACCGATTTTTTTTAGCAAAATGAAACAAAATGAGAAAAGCAACAAAAATTTAGAATAAAAAAAATCTTTAAAATTTTCCATTGATATACTGCCCATATGAGTAAGATAATGAACTTTCTTAATTCTTGAAACTAACTTTGGAGGACATATGTAACATCTTTCACACACTTCTTTCTGACTGCACACTTAATTTCTCTCAGGTCTCCACAGTAGAGAGATTTCTAGAGTACTCATTTAAGGATAACAGAATTTACTTGAGCAGGATTTACAGAAGATAATTTCCTGTATCAGATCTGAATCTGCAACTACCAAGCTAGCAAGGTGAGTAAGGTACTAGATAAATACCATATTGAAATTCCTTGTTCTAATCATTGAGACTCCAAATTCCTACCAATAAATTAGAAATGTGCTTTAAAAATCTTTACTACATTTTTGTGATCATAAAACCTACATATAAATAGTAAACACATTTTCTAAAAGCAATTTAAGTATACTGAAAAGATAAGCTCTCTTAAATAAATAAAAACCTTAAAGGAGGGGGGAAACCAGTATTAAAAAAAATAGTCCTAAGCTGAATTAAAAAAAAAAAATTTTTTTTTTTTTTTACTTTAACACTAAGAGGATTCATTTTCAGATTGAAAAGATGTGTGTGGATAAGGCATAGTAGAAATCAGTACTGATTATAAAGATGGTTTATAGTTACGAGCAAGAAACCTGAGCTTCACTGGCACGCATGAAGTAAAGAGGTTTGCTAGTCCAAATGGCACAGGAGGCCAAAGTCGCAGGAATGCACAGGTTAAGCTATTAAGCACCCTGGTGCGGGCATATGAGCTGCAGGTCTTTCCATGAAGACTACACCAGTGTTCTCATAAAACACTGCAACGTCAGTGATGGATTTGTAACGTTAAACTTTATATACACACTAAATGCGTTCGCTAAACCACAGAAAGGTTTTATGTGAAAGTTATATAAACATTTAAAACTACAGACCATTTTTAAAGGTCAATGATGATCCAGAAGGGATGGCTTTATAATTTCTCTAAGTTAAATCATTATATATTCATTTCCACTATAAATTTACATAGTACTTTTCTAATGGAGTGAGTGTTGGGTAGAGGTAGTTTAATCCTGCTGTGAAGTCAATTAATCACAACTAAATAGGAACAAGGAAGGTAAAAACAGCCAATTTTGATACAACAATTCAAATGAAGCACATTCACAGGGCCCTTATACACTCAGCACGTACCTACACATTACTGGGGTACAAATAAAATGAATGTACAACAATCCCTGCCCTCAGGAAGCTTTCAAGCTCGGCAGGTGATGTCTTACACATACACATACGAGGCATAATGAGGTTCCGCATATTATCAAATGAGTTATCAAGTAAGTCTTTAGGAGTCCAAAAACGGCGTGGGACGTTCCGAAAGCTTTCAAGGGGGAGGTAATAAGGCTTTGCTTGTGTAGGTCTTAGGTTGGTGGATCAGTGTATACTGAGATGGGAGGCGGGGGGAGACCTTGGTCAGAGACATGAAGGCAAGAAGTGGCATCAAACACCCTGTCTTTCTGAGACTGGAGAGAAGGACGTGGCACTAAGGGATGGTAAGGGAGCAGGGAGAAGGCGACATCCAGTACGCGGAGCCTGGACTCCCAAGCAGAGGCCCGAGAGCTATATATCCTGTACGCCCTGAACTAGCTGATCCGAGGAAATTCACCTGCCCCTCCTCTTCCCAACCGGGCAGACCCCTCTGGTAGTGGGCAGTGCGAGATGAACTGCAGGGACAGAGAACGGAGACAGGGAGGGGACTGAAGTGTCCAGCAGGAGTCCACACCAGTGCTCTGTGAGCATGCGCGGACACTTTCAGCGCCAGCGCCCATGTGCTACACCTCACTTACCCTCAGAGTGCCTGGGAGGACAAAATCACTAAGCCCAGTTTCCCGATGACCAAAGGGAAGCCCAGAGGGTTCCAGCCACCTGCCCAGGGACAGGGTAAGAGGCAGAGCCAAGATTCCCAAACCAATCGACCTGGGCGTAATGCAGATGCTTGAGAGAAACCAAAAGGAAACACGGAAGCAAAGTTGTTTTCAAAGAGAGGAACAAGCCCTAACTGGATTTGGGAAGTTACCTCGAGACACGAGATAAAGCGAAGCGACTTGAATTAACAGTGGTCAGCATCCCGAGCAGCAAACGGCAGGACAGGAAAGCAAGGAGTAGCGAGCACTGGGGACCGCACTGGGACCCCGCACCGCCCCTCTCGTGCAACTATGACTCAACCCCACAGCGCTCCCCGAACCTCCGACCTGCCGTCCGCTGCTACTGACCCGCCCTGTGGGGGCCCGAGTTTTACCTACAAACCCGAATCCACCCCATGGTCCAGGTCCTTAACCCAATTCTTATCTCCGCGTCGCTCTTCAGGCGACATTTGCCAGGCTGTTCTCATCCCCGTGCCTACCGCCCTGTCCTCGGCCCCATGTGGAAATCGAAACCTAATTACTGACCGTCCCCTTTGTCCCACACCTCCCCAGGTGAGTCTGGGCTCTGGGACCACTCCTGGAGATTCTGAATCCCCCTCCCTGCGAGCAAGTCATGAGGATATTATCAAGACCCTCTGAAAAGGACTCAAAAGAATTTACAAAGTATAAATGAAGCACTAAAACTTAAGATACTTCTGTGTCCCTGGAAAGACTGTAATTTCTTTCCTGGGTTTTATGAGAAATTTTAGTCAATCTACTCCACGTTTCATTCGAAGCTTTTAGCGGTACTCGCTAAAAACTACAATTATTGGGGAAGGGGCACACTGCTACTTAATTATTTATGTAATAAGCGATAAATGCCACAGGTAAATAGATCGTCTTCATTAATGGGAATGCTTGGCACAGTGGGACATTTCTACTGCTTATTAAGTTCCTTTTGCTAGATTTCTGGTTAGATTATTTGAACTGATCCACATACAGTTACACTCTTTAAACCTTTCAAAATTTATCCTGTTACATTTACTACAACTCCGTGTTTTTCTCATTTTCATGCTCTAAAGTCTAACTTCTATATAATGAGAAGTTACCAACAGAAATGAAATTTTAATACTGTACTAAAACTTTTACATGCAATCTCAAAATGACCCCAAAGCATCATACATGTGTCAATTTTAAATACACTAAAAATCACAACCATGTGGAGAAAGGAAGAAGGTCTTTTCATAACTGGCTCTGAATCATCTACTCATTTATTAATTGAAAAGACATCACAGACTCTAACTTTTATTCTTCAGTGCAACTAAATGATTTAACAGATGATCTCTCTCATTTGAGATTTAAAATAGTATCACCTAAAGATAAAAAAAAAAAAATTGGAATTTGGAACATTTTATCTTCTAGTATTTCATTTCTTCTTTTGTCCTTTAGGACACAGCAGATTATATGTAAATCTCAGCTTCCACCATCCTAAGGTAAGCTCTATGAGGGTAGGATTTTGTTTCCCAGTATTCAGTTTCTAGAACAATACCTGGCATATAACAAATGTTCAACAAATTCTCAAACAGTCCACACTGAGAATCAAAGAGAATTTAATGTATTCGGGTTTTAACATTTAAATTTGAAATCCCAGTAATCTGGCTATCTCTTAATCACCAGATAGGAACAAATAAAGATGTTAAAGGAATTATGAGAACAATTTTTATCAATCATTTTCTACAACCCTCATTAAAGTAGTCAAAAGGCAAAAAAATTCAAAAAAGTGATTTAAAAGATCATTAATCACTTTAATGACCTTTAATGAAAATGACTTGGACAACTGGTCCTCAAGAGTGATACAATTTATACTAACACTGTTCAAAATCAACATAAAATTGAAAGATTCTGATGATCAAAAGTGGGTTGTTGGGGCGCCTGGGTGGCTCAGATGGTTAGGCGTCTGCCTTCGGCTCGGGTCATGATCCTGGAGTCCC